GCCAACCCGACGGGTTGGCAGTCCTTCTTAGAAGGGACAAAACAGCAACCCGCCGACAGTCCTTCTTAGAAGGGACAAAACAGTAACCCGCCAGGTCGGTAGGTTGCCATTTTGCAACCCGGACCGCCCGAGGGTTGCTGCCGAGTTGGGTTCAACCCTCTTCATTGCGGGCCGGGTTAGTGTTGAGCCGCCTAACCTGGCCCATTTGTTCCACCTCTACAGTCTCACCTATGATCAGTTCATCCGCCAAGTTAACTCTATCTCCTTCTCACTCATGACACACTACTTTCTCGGCCAAATGATATCACTTTCATCATTTCCCCTCCTCCACCAATTGCCCGGATCTGGCGTTATATTGTTGTTATTTGGGAAAATGGGTTGTTTTTTGTGTATTGAATTGTTGGGGAAATTGATGGGATCAGAGAAGGGATGGTAAAAACGGAATCGCCAAGGTCTTGGAAGCTCTTCTCATGAGAGGTCATGTTGAGGAAGCCGTTGGACGCATTGATCTGCTGAGGCACAGTGGTTGTGCACCCAATTTTGGTAGTCTTCTATCTATTCTGTCTAAGAAAGGGAAGACCGTTGTAGCTCTGAAGTTGTTGTATTTTTGCGTGGATAGAGACTGCATTGTAGACTTTTCAAGTTTTGAGAAGATGTTGGATGCTCTCTTAGCAGCCGCGAAGACTCTCAATGCATATTCTTTATTGTTTGAAATTCTAGCGAAAGGAGGAGCCACTAATTGGACGAGCTGTGAGGATTTGATTGCTAGCCTTAATCAGAAAGGGAACACAAAGCAAGCAGATATACTCTCTAGAATGATAAGGGGAGGGAAGACAGCCTGTGGGAGCAAGAAGGTGAAGAAACAATTAGCAGTTCCCAGCTAGTTTTGCCTTTTTATCTCCCTTTCTAATTTTAGGGTAGTTTTTTAAGTAGAGAACTTTTGCTTGAAATTTTTAGTTTGAGAATGATTCGAAGAGCTCCATCTTGATCAGATTAACTTGTGGAAAACATAATATCATTTGTTCTGAATTTGAAAGGTGTAACACCGCATTATCGTTTTACTATACCACATGAAATTTTTGTTTCTAAAAATCCAGTTCTATGTTCAAGCTTTTACACTCATTTTCATAAATACTTTGATACCATTTGCAAAGATATGATTTGTTTTTAAAATCAGTTTCTTGTTGTAACGTTATATGTAACTCAATCTAGTGAACCTAAACCAAGTCAGGCTCCAGGGGTATTGTGTCTTCTAGTTTCATCCGGTCTGGTGCAAATCGGCAGCATTTTTGGCAAAGGAGAAAGAAGAAAGAGAGAAGTGTCGTTTCGCCAACCTTGGGTGGGAATATGTCGTTCACCCCATCATAAATTGCCCATGTGCCATGTGGAATTGCATCAGCATAATTTGTATATCCTCAGACTTACAGAAGCTAAATCCCAAAAACCCACAGCTGCAACAGAAACAAATTAAAAATAATAAATTAAACGCAGTAAATAACAAGAGAATTAGTATCCATTACAAATGTGTATTATAATTTATTCATGACTAATATCTTTGTTTGTTACATTCCTATTTTATCTATTACTTATCCTCGAATAAAAAAACAATCCCTATCCAACTAAATATTAAGATATTTGATGGGTTTGAATTCAGAGGAATAAAAACAGAGCATTTAAATATGGATAAATAATGAATTCCACTCAGAGATTACTTTCACTGGTAACTCAGTCATGTAATTGTAAACTACTACTTATAAACCAAGGGTATATAAAAGAGTAATGTTAGATGTATAAACAAATTTTACAAAAATTTTGATATAAACTGATTCTTACATAGATTTTTATATATTAGTATAAACTAATGTGACAAAAATAAATGGAAGAACAAATAACCATTTTGTATGAAAATCTTTATAAGAATTGTTTACACATCTAACATTATCGATATTAAAAAATGAAATTTAAAAATCATTTAAAACCTTGACATAGAAGAAGTCAAAGTAAATCAAATCTTAATCGAGGAGAAAATCTGTAATTCTTACTTTGTTTATAAGTTTCTTTCCTTGCTACTACTCTCAAGATGAACATAGGCTTCACTCACCCAATCAGAGAGATAATAAAAGCTGGAAACCGATTTATAGCGAAAGGATTTAATCTTGAAAGGTCCAGATCAATTATGGCTAATTGTATACGATCAGATGGAGCCATTTTACGGCGACGTCTTTATTAACCTGGAGTCAGTTCTAAGCTATATTTTTTTAAAATCAACTTAAATATTATAATATCAATTGAAAATATGTATACAAGAAAAAGTAAAATAGAACGTCCCAATTAATTTTTATTATATTTTTGAGAAGTAATTTATTATAAAAATAATAAACATAGTTATTTAATAACAAACATATAATATGCATTTGATGTTATATTCTCAGAAAGATAAAAAGAAAATATTTTCAGAACATAATATTTTCAAAAGAGAATACTTTTAATGACAGAAATGGCAAGTTGAATCAGATAAGCCAGGTCCACTGGCATGGGATGGGGTTGGATCCAGCCGTGTTTTAAAACCTAATCCAGGGTGAAACTCGACAAAGTAGTTAAATCCCAAATTAATCGGTTTAACCGGTTTGACTAACGGTCAAACCGGTGTTCAAATGTTTAAAATCTAACAAAAATCCCCTAAAAATTTATAAATCCCTATAGGTTTGAAATCTTGTAAAAACACCCCAAACAACACCATCAACGCCAACAAATAAGACCTGTTTCGAGCGACGAAAACACTCCCCTCAACCCCTAACCGAAACCCATCTCACCCCCCTGTTCGCCTCCAATCACGGACAACAACAAGCTTTCTTCGACAACATAGTTTTTAAATTTCTGTCGTTTAACTAAACCGAAAATCATTGATTGTTGCCACCATTACACTCACGGTCATTAATATTCAAAAGCCCTAACATTACAACTTTCAATTGTTTATGACTAATGTCCTATTTTCTAGGATTTTCAATGAAGAGGAAAACGTGTAATCTAACGCGGTGAAGGCCTCGAGTCCCAATTCAAACGGCCAGGTTTTAAACACCAACCGAAGGATTCATCACAAAAACAGTAGCCATTCATAACATTCTAAAACCTAGGTACAAAATAGATAAGTGTGGATACAAGTGATACACAGCTAAGAGTTCAAAATATACATAATCCATTATTACAGCCCCTACAGATGCAGAAGAAATAACTATCATCATCTATGCTTCAAAAACCCAAAACCACACCGATTACCACAAATCACCCGATTTCCAAGGAGCAGTAGCTAGTTTTTCAAAATCATGCTGGGCACTTTGGACTCGTTCGCTCATGCCATCAAGATGAGACTGCAACCTAGAATCTCGACAACCTGTATCTCCTTTTTTGTTTGTCGAGCCCAGTTTGTCCTGCAACTCACTTATCTTCTTTTGGTCTCCTCTACTTCTTTATCTAACTTCTATTGTCACTAGTAAGCTCTATTATCTTCTTTTCAGTGTCTTTTATTCATTGACATTTTGTTCTTGCGCAACCCTGACTGAAAGCAATGCATTCACACGAGCTCGTAGAACTGTAACATCAAATCCATGCTTCTCTAAATCCACAAGACTTTCCAAAGTGCTATAAAATGTTCTTCTAGAATCATTCAGTTGCAACATGGAGATCTTCTCAAACAAACCCAAAAGTTACCATAATACCATAGCTGATCCTTCACGATACTCCTCTTTGTTTCACCTAAAGGATGAAAATGTGGATTTTGGGCACTATTTGGAAAACTTCCATGGATTCAATTGTATTCCAAATAGGTGACTTCTTCACAAACGGCAACACTTTATTTTCTACTGGTGTGGATTCAGTGACCATATCAAGCTGTCTTTCTCTAGCCTCATTCAATCCATTAGCAGTTCTACCGGAGGATAATCCTAGACAGAAACAAAATCTTGTCAAGCAAAATTACAACAAACAAGAGAGCATTAGTTTTAGTAGCTTACTTAATTCTTCAACACTTGAAGAGTGCATTCCTCCAATCCAAGCTGATAGAGGTTGATCATCATCAGCCGAGTTGTGGGATACTACGCAATGGCCATATCAACTTCTTTTGTACGGAATCAATCTCTGAAACTTGAGCTACTCTTTTCCAGAGATATCTCGAGAAACTACAAAATATAACCACCTTAAGCTCCATGGAATTAGGACAGATGTCTATAAAGTATAACTAGAACAAATAAACAGCTGCTTTAATTGAAACAGAGGAAGCCAAAAATGGGAAAAAGAGGAAAAACTAAAAACACGCCAGACCACCTTATTAAACAGACTAATCTGCACTATTTAAAAAATCACAAAGTAAATCAATGTATTTCTATGGCAACAATTCATCTGTTTTACAAATTGGGAAACTGCATCGTAATTGTTCTTTACTAGTACAAGCAAATGCATGGGATGTGTGCCACAACCAACCCCTTGAGATCTGATAGATAATAGGAGTTCCCTGCACTAAGAAAGGTCTCCTGAAGTCAAGGATAACAATACTTGAGTCAATTGCTGAGCTGACACAGGAATAGAAATTAAAACCAGATTCAAAGATGCCATTTTTGAGCTGATTGGCTACTAAGAACTTCAAGAACTCTACTTTTGACTTCTAGGCCATGATAGACTCAAAAGAATTTATTAAACAACAAAAAAGGCTGGAAGCATGTGACAGCCCCACTACCCAAAATTGCAGTCTATTATTTCAAATAAGCCCACTGGAGGTTCAACGTTTATGGTTTCACTTCAATTTCTTCCTCTCTTTGATGGAAACTCCTCAGTTCTCAGAAGTTCCTCATAACGCACTGAGCTCATATTGTTAACATAGTTGGGTATCACTGGGTAATCAAGAGGCTCTTCTATTACTAATATGTTCAGCATTAACTACCACGAAGCTGAAATAATTTTTATATTGCAACTTCTTCATACCTGCAGACTCCACCCTTCTAAGTGCAGCAACTCAGTTTCATTAGTTATATGATCTTTTACTCCAGTTTCATCAGCAGCAATTCCAGCCCTTTTGTGATCCTTACCTGCAGAGCCTGAAGCAAAGTAGTCTCTTAGAAAATAGAATAAAGCATCTAACCTTCCAATCACTGTTGCTTAAAATTATCATATACCGTCTTCTGGAGCCCTGCTTGTGACTACTAATTTACGTGGTCTTCCTCTTTTTCTTCTTTGGCTGCTTCCTCCAACTCTTGGCTGCTTATATCCCACATTAAGAATAATAAAACAATAAAAAAAATAAAAAAAAACATCAATCCGAACAGTTTGGTCAAGGAACAAACAGGATTAAGGCAAATTACTAAAAAGGCCTTTATTTCATATTTAATAGTATGTCTAAATCAAGACCTGGGCTAAAAGCAATTAAACAAAACTAGAAAAAAATCAGAAGTTTGCACTGTTAAAATCTATTTAATTTTTTTAGAGTTAAAATATTATTTAATTATTACAACAGTGAATAACAGCATAAATTGGTACCTGGAAGACAATTTTATAGTTAAAAAGAAAGAAAAGGTTATGAACAAATGGGTTCTTCAGATAAAAGATTTCCATAAAATTTCCACTACTTTTCTAACAAGTTCAGTCTGAAATTGTTTTTGACATGTGAATGCAAGATACTACGTATCAAACAGTCATACTTACCGTTCAAAATAGTATTACAAGGTCACAAGAACCTCAAGATTGTTACAAAACTATATTACCAATGACCATTGGAGCAGAACTGTAATGTTATGGAATAGGAGATGTGCTTTTCATTTAGTATTCCATAACACTACAGTTCTTCTGCCTCCCAGGTTTGGTTTCTGGGACAACTTGTCCTTTTTTGTGAGGACAACTACTCCAGTCTTGTCTAACTTTTTATTTAATAGAGTATCTATGTTTCCTAGCAGAAAAACAAAGGGTTATCACATGTAAGGTAATGAAAAGAATATGCAAAAGCTATATAACTTCCTAGTTTTTTCCTTCTTTAAAACCATGCTCCAAGTCTCTCTTTTTTTTTTTTTTTTTTTTATGTTGGAGGTTTTCCACTCTTGGATGGAAGCCTTTAAAAAGAAAGGAAGAGAATGCTCATATATTGCTTACCATGCTGTTGTCTCCTTCTGAATCATTTAAAATTTTCTTCTGGTCCCTAATTAGCTTCAGTGATCCATTCTTGGAATTCTGACCAATTTCTAGCCTGTGTGCCCCTTACACCCTTATTAGCTTTTAACCCTAAGATGCAGGCATTTCAACTTCTTTCTCTTTACCATCATTCATTCAGTTCTTCAGTCGTAGCCAACCCTGTATTGGTCTCCTCACCTGAGATCCTAAAAACCCCAAATTAGTTACAGAAAGACACACATTTAATGAAATATATATTACCAAACTGTATACCAGTTGCTGCAGCTGGTGGCATTTTAACTTGTATTTGTCGGCCTTCCCTTCCTTTTCACATCCACTGTTTGGAAGTCCGCTCCAAATTTCTGTTGCTTAGTCTTCTGTGGAGCAACAAATTATCATGAAAAGTTAAGGGCAAAATATCATGCTTATACAGAAAGTGGCCGCGGTTCAAACATAAACCTAAGTGTCCAACTAGTCATCATTACCCAATCATGGAATATTGACAGAAAAATCAGAAAAAACTCATTCAACTTATATAATACAATAGCTGAAAAACACTTCTCTTTACTCTTGAAGAAATTCATGTCATTATCAATCATAACAGCACCAATGAAATCTCAGTCACCGTACTATTAGGGTAGGGAGGATAATTTTCTTAAAAGTTTCCAGTAAGATTATGCAGGCAGATCCCCAAACCTTGCACAGGATAGTTAACTAGAGACCTTTATTAAGCATTAAAGTAAAATAACCTTAATATGTTGCATCGATGGGAAATTTGAGTCTACACCCTTCACTCTAAATGCAAGCAACTAAACTAATGGACCCAATCATAAAAAGGCCAACTCCGCTGGCGTAATTGTTATGTCAATGTTTACAAGTCTCCCTTCATACAAATTTGGACATATTGCCCCCCCATGAAGTTTGATGTACAGGATGTGAAAAAATATGAAGGTTTCAACAGAGAAATCTAACTCACAATTCTCTTTCCGAGAAAGGACTCTCGATTAGCAGGAGGCTGTCAGCAATCACGGGTTTCTTCAACCCCTAGATCCTGTGCTTTCGCCTTTTCAGAGACCAAATCAGATGTGTCTCCTCATTCATTCGGCATCTTCTTTATAAAAGATGAGGTCTCTGAAACATTTCTTTCGGTCAACTTTTTGTAAGGACTGATCGCATGATAGTACCGTTAGGTTAGACAGCTTAAGCTTCTTCTTGCTTGGAGGAAAGGAATAGATGTAGCATCTCTTGGCAGGAACTTGACTGCTCCATCTGATTATTCTTCTGTTGGTAAAATTAGGTGTTTTATCTTCACTGTTATCCTTTGCAGAGCCTGAACCTTCAAATTTCAACTACCCAGCGTTGTTGGCAACAGTGCTGCATGCCCCACCTGTTCTGATTACCAGTTGCTATCAAGATTTCCTGAACCAAAAACATATTATAAGCTACCAACAAATAAATAAAACTAGTACTAGGCTCTAGACAGATCTAACATTAACCCAAGCACACCATTAACCTATCTAAATATATGGCACTTTCCACTGTCAATTACATGAAATAGAGACCCATTTACTTCTCAAAAGTGAGGTGACTTTTAGAGCAAAATAAATGACAAAGGACTAAAAAGAACCAAAGAACCACAAAAAAAAAAAAAAAAAAAAAGACCCACAATCACAGACAGTAGGTATAAGCACTGTTTTGCAGACCAATGCATGAAAGGAACAAAACAAAGTACAAAGACCAGCAAGAGAGGTGCTTAGTATTTTCTCGAGCATGCTCAAATGACTCATTTTCACAACATTATTCTTTTTCTCTTCTCATAATAATTACATCTGATACAAAATAAATCTAGAGGATGTTTTTTTTCTTTTAGGCTAATGCCATCATTACAAATAGATAAAACAATCCATAAAACAGTTTGGCAAACCTAGAACATGAATTGAAAGCTAAACCCAGTACCACCTAAGCACATGATTCTCGCCTTTACATCCTTGAAAACTAGCATGAATGCAATTAAAAACTTAGAAAACCTCACACACTTAAAAGAACAGAACAATTCATACAAAATTTGTGCCAAAATACATTGCAAAAGGATGGCCGTTATTGATCCCTTTAAATAGAGTATGATTCAGTACTATAGGGAAGAACATGAGTTCCTTCGGAACAAGTACAATGCCATTTCATTGTAGATATAAAACATAAACAAAGAATAAAAATATTTATTTGTAAATTTTCATAACTAAAACAAAATGGTAGTCAGACATATGCAGATAAATGAGTAAACGACTTTTTCCCACCCAAGGTTTGCCTTAATGACACTTTTCCACCCAAAGAGTTTCAAAATACCAGTTTCTCACCCAAAGTTAATAGTCCGTTACTACCCAAAACCGATTCCGACTACGAAAGTTCTCTCCGTCACCACCATTTAAACCTCCGGTCTCCTCTCTACAAAACCCCCCCTTACTTCGGCACCTGATTTCTTGTCGATTGCCGGCCACCACAAAGCTAAGGTTTCCTGTTCTTAACTAATTTCCAGTTGATTCCGACGGCGAATATTAAAGCAGTCACCACCATTCGATCCACCGGCCTCCACCTTACAAAACCCCTCCTACCCTGGCTCTTGGTAACTCACCAAACGCCAACTGAGAAAGTGAAGTGTATTTTGAGTATTAATAGAATATAAACTTTAGGTGAGAAAGCAGTATTTGGAACTTTTTGGGTGGGAAAGTGTCATTAAGGCAAACCTTGGGTGGGAAAAAGTCGTTTACTTACAAATAAATCGATACCCTTCAGGACAAACAACATAGATAAATAAAATAAAATAAAATAAAATAAAAAAAGCAAAACCTTGTCAAGAACAAATTCAATACCAACCACGCCAAAAAATTGTTATTTATTTAATTAATTTTTATTTCTTTTTAAGAAACAAAGAGACTAACAGCTATAACAAACAAAGACAATCACTAAGGACTAAAGATCCCAAGCCCCATCCTCCAATACTCTCTCACAAAGAAGAGAAGATTAAGAAAAGATGATACCTTGGATTTACTAATCCAGTTGCCATCAGTCCATTCCAAATGGGGCCTTAATTCTGAAAGACTAAACTCTTTATCCTCATTTGCATGCTCAAAAAAGACATTGTACCTTCCCCCAGCAAGAACTTTAGTAATTACTCCAACCCGCCAACCAGGACCATAGGATGTATCAACTTTTTCCAGTAATTTATAATTTCTGTCCACATGGGGAGGAGGGGTAGGTCGGATACGATTGGAATCCAGATTAACTTTTACTGTTCCAGCATCATCACCAGTCATTTTGTTTTCATACTTCACAAAGAAAGTGCCATCCTCGTTTTCTTTAATGATGATTGCAGGGATCCAGACATCACGTGTGTTTTCTACTTTGTCAAGATTAACTTCTACTGCTATCCCCGGGCTAAAAATGGATCCTGTTGATTGCTTTAAGAAATAAAACTAAAAACATATTATTAATAGAGAACAATGTCACTGGGTAACATATATCATGCGAAGAATCAAAATGAAATTACAGCTCTTAAGGTTTGCAAGTGAGAACAGATAACAACAATCATTAATACTTTACTGTCAATTGAAGAACAGAATCATAAATGAAAAAGAAGCAAGATTACCGTTGGTTTATGCAGGTAGTAAGTGTGATTGGGGAAAATACTACACTCATGCTCTAAAGTACATTTCAGAAGATTCCATTCAGTTTCGTAAATAAGTTAATGGTACACACCCATAAAAAAGAACGGGCATGTAAATTTGATAAATATTAACAGACCCCCAGAAAAATTAGACCACGCATAAGCAGAATCAAAGAATTAACCAGGGAAATAAGTAAATCAAGGTGATTATTTGATTATGATTCTAATCTTAACAATCACCCTATACACAGCAGGATGTTTCCTTTAATAGTGATTAACATGCAATGCATCCATCCACTGCCCATGCAAGGTCGACACCTATCAATACCAGACAGATCACACATACTTGAATAAAAAGTACAAGATTTTTTGAAGCCCACAAATACTAGTGAGAAATCATGCCAAATCTGTTTCGTATAAAAGCATGCATGGAATATAGTTTAAAACAATGAAAACCCATGCAATAAAACCCATCTAAAATACTACATTCGGTCAAAATTTACAAGCCCACCAATTTATTTCTTCCAAAAACTTAATTCTTTTTCAGCACTCTTAAAAAAACTATAACAGTAGCTTGACGTACCTGCTTTTGGGGTCGGACCCAGTTACCGTTAACCCAATCCCAATGAAATCTCAAATCTTTCTCCCTGACACTAAGAAAGGTCTCCTGAAGTCAAGGATAAAATACTTGAGTCAATTGCTGAGCTGACACAGGAATAGAAATTAAAACCAGATTCAAAGATGCCATTTTTGAGCTGATTGGCTACTAAGAACTCAAGAACTCTACTTTGACTTTAGGCCATGATAGACTCAAAGAAAATTTATTAAACAACAAAAAAGGCTGGAAGCAGTGACAGCCCCACTACCCAAAATTTGCAGATTTATTATTTCAAATAAGACAACTGGAGGTTCAACGTTATGGTTTCACTTCAATTTCTTCCTCTCTTGATGGAAACTCCCTCAGTTCATCAGAAGTTCCTCAGTAACGGCACTGAGCTCATTGTTAACATAGCTTGGGTATCACTGGGTAATCAAGAGGCTCTTCTATTACTAATATGTTTCAGCATTAACATACCACGAAGCTGAAATAATTTTTATATTGCAACTTCTTCATACCTGCAGACTCCACCCTTCTAAGTGCATGCAACTCAGTTTCATTAGTATGATCTTTTACTCCAGTTTCATCAGCAGCAATTCCAGCCCTTTTGTGATCCTTACCTGCAGAGCCTGAAGCAAAGTAGTCTCTTAGAAAATAGAATAAGAGCATCTAACCTTCCAATCACTGTTGCTTAAAAATTATAACCGTTCTGGAGCCCTGGTGGACTACTAATTTACGTGGTCTTCCTCTTTTTCTTCTTTGGCTGCTTCCTCCAACTCTTGGCTGCTTATATCCCACATTAAGAATAATAAAAACAATAAAAAAAATAAAAACATCAAATTCCGAAAAGTTTGGTCAAGGAACAACAGGATTAAGGCAAATTACTAAAAAGGCCTTTTATTTCATATTTAATAGTATGTCTAAATCAAGACCTGGGCTAAAGCAATTAAACAAAACTAGAAAAAAAATCAGAAGTTTGCACTGTTAAAATCTAATTTATTTTTTTAGAGTTAAAATATTATTATTATTTACAACAGTGAATAACAGCATAAATTGGTACCTGGAAGACAATTTTATAGTTAAAAAGAAAGAAAAGGTTATGAACAAATGGGTTCTTCAGATAAAGATTTCCATAAAATTTCCACTACTTTTTCTAACAAGTTTCAGTCATGAAATTGTTTTTGACATGTGAATGCAAGATACATACGTATCAAACAGTCATACTTAACCGTTCAAAATAGTATACAAGGTCACAAGAACCTCAAGATTGTTACAAAACTATATTACCAATGACCATTGGAGGCAGAACTGTAATGTTATGGAATAGGAGATGTGTTTTCATTAGTATTCCATAACACTACAGTTCTTTGCCTCCCAGGTTTGGTTTCTGGGACAACTTGTCCTTTTTTGTGAGGACAACTACTCCAGTCTTGTCTAACTTTTTATTTTAATAGAGTATCTATGTTTCCTAGCAGAAAAACAAAAGGGTTATCACATGTAAGGTAGATGAAAAGAATATGCAAAAGCATATAACTTCCTAGTTTTTCCTTCTTTTTTAACCAAGAGCTTCAAGTCTCTCTTTTTTTTTTTCTTTTTTTTTAGTTGGAGGTTTTCCACTCTTGGATGGAAGCCTTTAAAAAGAAAGGGAAGAGAATGCTCATAATGCTTACATGCTGTTGTCTCCTTCTGAATCATTTAAAATTTTTCTGGTCCCTAATTAGCTTCAGTGATCCATTCTTGGAATTCTGACCAGGATTTCTAGCCGTGGTGCCCCTTACACCTTTTAGCTTTTAACCCTAAGATGACAGGCATTTCAACTTTTTCTCTTTACCATCATTTTCATTCAGTTTTCAGTAGTAGCCAACCCTGTATTGGTCTCCTCACCTGAGATCCTTAAAACCCCAAATTAGTTACAGAAAGACAACAATTTAATGAAATATTATTACCAAAAATGTATACCAGTTGCTGCAGCTGGTGGCATTTTAACTTGTAATTTTGTCGGCCTCCTTCTTTTCACAAGATCCACTGTTTGGAAGTCCGCTCCCAATTTCTGTGCTTAGTCTTCTGTAGGAGCAACAAATTATCATGAAAAGTTGAAGGGCAAAATATCATGCTTATACAGAAATTGGGCCGCGGTTCAAACATAAACCTAAGTGTCAAATAGTCATCATTACCCAATCATGGTAATATTGACAGAAAAATCAGAAAAAAAATCATTCAACTTGTATAATACAAATAGCTGAAAAACATCTTCTCTTTATCTTGAAGAAATTCATTGTATTATCAATCATAACAGCACCAATGAAATCTCAGTCACCGTACTATTAGGGTAGGGAGGGATAATTTCTTAAAAGTTTCCAGTAAGATTATGCAGGCAGATCCCCCAACCTTGCACAGGATATAGTTAAACTAGAGACTTTATTAGCATTAAAGATAAAATAACCTTAATATGTTGCATCGATGGGGAAATTTGAGTCTACACCCTTCACTCTAAATGCAAGCAACTAAAATAATGGACCCAATCATAAAATGGCCAACTCCGGCGGCGTAATTGTTATGTCAATGTTTACAAGTCTCCCTCATCAAAATTTGGACATATTGCCCCCCCATGAAGTTTGATGTACAGGATGTGAAAAAATATGAAGGTTTCAACAGAGAAATCTAACTCACAATTCTCTTTCCGAGATAAGGACTCTCGACTTTAGCAGGAGGCTGATCAGCAATCACGGGTTTCTTCAACCGCCTAGATCTGTGCTTTCTGCCTTTTCAGAGACCAAATCAGATGTGTCTCCTCAGTTTCATTGGCATTTCTTTATAAAAGATGAGGTCTCTGAAACATTTCTTTCGGTCAACTTTTTGTAAGGACGTGATCGCATGATAGTACCGTTAGGTTAGACAGCTTAAGTTCTTCTGCTTTGAGGAAAGGAATAAGATGTGCATCTTCTTGGCAGGAACTTGACTGCCCATCTGATTATTTCTTCTGTGGTAAATTAGGTGTTTTATCTTCACTGTTATCCTTTGCAGAGCCTGAACCTTCAAATTTCAAAGCTCCCCAGCGTTGTTGGCAACAGTGCATGCATGCCCCACCTGTTCTTGATACACAGTTGCTATCAAGATTCCTGAACCAAAAACATTATATAGCTACACAAAAATAAAAAACTAGACTAGGCTCTAGACAGATCTAACATTAACCCAAGCACACCATTAACCTATCTAAAATATATGCAACTTTCCACTGTCAATTACATGAAAGAGAACCATTTACTTCTCAAAAGTGAGGTGACTTTAGAGCAAAATAAATGAAACAAGGACTATAAAGAACCAAAGAACCACAAAAAAAAAAAAAAAAAAAGGACCACAATCACAGACAGTAGGTATAAGCACTGTTGCAAGACCAATGCATGAAAGGAACATAACAAAGTACAAAGACCAGCAAGAGAGGTGCTTAGTAGTTTTCTCGAGCATGCTCAAATGACTCATTTTCACAACATTATTCTTTTCCTTCTCCTAATATTACATATGAATTCAATAAAGTTTCTTTTCCTTGCTACTACTCTCAAGAATGAACAATAGGCTTCACTCACTCACAATCAGAGAGATAATAAAAGCTGGAAACCGATTTATAGCGAAAGGATTTAATCTTGAAAGGTCCAGATCAATTATGGCTAATTGTATACGATCAGATTGAGCCATTTTACGTCGACGTCTTTATTAACCTGGAGTCAGTTCTAAGCTATATTTTTTTAAAATACAACTTAAATATTATAATATCAATTGAAAATATGTATACAAGAAAAAGTAAAAATAGAACGTCCCAATTAAATTTTTATTATATTTTTGAGAAGTAATTTCAATTATAAAAATAATAAACATAGTTATTTAATAACAAACATATAATATGCATTTGATGTTATATTCTCAGAAAGTATAAAAAGAAAATATTTTCAGAACATAATATTTTCAAAAGAGAATACTTTTAATGACAGAAATGGCAAGTTGAATCAGATAAGCCAGGTCCACTGGCATGGGATGGGGTTGGATCCAGCCGTGTTTTAAAACCTAATCCAGGGTGAAACTCGACAAAGTAGTTAAATCCCAAATTAATCGGTTTAACCGGTTTGACTAACGGGTCAAACCGGTGTTCAAATGTTTAAAATCTAACAAAAATCCCCTAAAAATTTATAAATCCCTATAGGTTTGAAATCTTGTAAAAACACCCCAAACAACACCATCAACGCCAACAAATAAGACCTGTTTCGAGCGACGAAAACACTCCCCTCAACCTCCTAACCGAAACCCATCTCACCCCTCCCCTGTTCGCCTCTCCAATCACGGACAACAACAAGCTTTCTTCGACAACATAGTTTTTAAATTTCTGATCGATTAACTAACCGAAAATCATTGATGTTGCCACCATTACACTCACCGGTCATTAATATTCAAAAGCCCTAACATTACAACTTTCAATTGTTTATGGACTAATGTCCTAATTTCTAGGATTTTCAATGAAGAGGAAAACGTGTAATCTAACCGGTGAAGGCCTCGAGTCCCAATTCAAACGGCCAGGTTTTAAAACACCAACCCAGAAGGATTCATCACTAAAAACAGTAGCCATTCATAACATTCTAAAACCTAGGTACAAAATAGATAAGTGTGGATACAAGTGATACACAGCTAAGAGTTCAAAATATACATAATTCCATTATTACAGCCCCTACAGATGCAGAAGAAATTAACTACCATCATCTATGCTTCAAAAACCTAACACCAACACCCATTACCACAACATCAACCCGATATCCAAAGAGCAGTAGCTAGTTTTTCAAAATCATGCTGGGCACTTTGGACTCGTTCGCTCATGCCATCAAGATGAGACTGCAACCTAGAAATCTCGACAACCTGTATCTCCTTTTTTGATTCTGTCGACTCCAGTTTGTCCTGCAACTCACTTATCTTCTTTTTGGTCTCCTCTACTTCTTTATCTAACTTCGTATTGTCACTAGTAAGCTCTATTATCTTCTTTTCAGTATCTTTTAATTCATTGACATTTTGTTCTTGCGCAACCCTGACTGAAAGCAATGCATTCACACGAGCTCGTAGAACTGTAACATCAAATCCATGCTTCTCTAAATCCACAAGACTTTCCAAAGTGCTATAAAATGTTCTTCTAGAATCATTCAGTTGCAACATGGAGATCTTCTCAAACAAACCGGCAAAAGTTACCATAATACCAATAGCTGATCCTTCACGATACTCCTCTTTAGTTTCACCTAAAGGATGAAAATGTGGATTTTGGGGCACTATTTGGAAAACTTCCATGGATTCAATTGTATTCCAAATAGGTGACTTCTTCACAAACGGCAACACTTTATTTTCTACTGGTGTGGATTCAGTGACTATATCAATCTGTCTTTCTCTAGCCTCATTCAATCCATTAGCAGTTCTACCGGAGGATAATCCTAGACAGAAACAAATCTTGTCAAGCAAATTACAACAAACAAGAGAGCATTAATGTTTTAAGTAGCTTACTTAATTCTTCAACACTTGAAGAGTGCATTCCTCCAATCCAAGTTGATAGAGGTTGATCATCATCAGCCGAGTTGTGGGATACTACAGCAATGGCCATATCAACTTCTTTTGTTACGGAATCAATCTCTGAAACTTGAGCTACTCTTTCTCCAGAGATATCTCGAGAAACTACAAAATATAACCACCTTAAGCTCCATGGAATTTAGGACAGATATCTATAAAGTATAATTAGAACAAATAAACAGCTGCTTTAATTGAAACAGAGGAAGCCAAAAATGGGAAAAAGAGGAAAAACTAAAAACACGCCAGACCACCTTATTAAACAGACTAATCTGCACTATTTAAAAAATCACAAAGTAAATCAATGTATTTCTATGGCAACAATTCATCTGTTTTACAAATTGGGAAACTGCATCGTAATTGTTCTTTACTAGTACAAGCAAAGGCATGAGATGTGTGCCAAAACCAACCCCTTGAGATCTGATAGATAAATAGGAGTTCCCTGCACTAAGAAAGGTCTCATGAAGTCAAGGATAACAATACTTGAGTCAATTGCTGAGCTGACACAGGAATAGAAATTAAAACCAGATTCAAAGATGCCATTTTTGAGCTGATTGGCTACTAAGAACTTCCAGAACTCTACTTTTGACTTCTAGGCCATGATAGACTCAAAAGAAAATTTATTAAACAACAAAAAAGGCTGGAAGCATGTGACAGCCCCACTACCCAAAATTAGCCGATCTATTATTTCAAATAACACCACTGGTGGTTCAACGTTTATGGTTTCACTTCAATTTCTTCCTCTCTTTGATGGAAACTCCCTCAGTTCATTTGGAAGTTCCTCTTTCACCACTAAGGGCACTGAGCTCATATTGTTAACATAACTTGGGTATCACTGGGTAATCAAGAGGCTCTTCTATTACTAATATGTTTCAGCATTAACATACCACGAAGCTGAAATAATTTTTATATTGCAACTTCTTCATACCTGCAGACTCCACCCTTCTAAGTGCATGCAACTCAGTTTCATTAGTTGTATGATCTTTTACTCCAGTTTCATCAGCAGCAATTCCAGCCCTTTTGTGATCCTTACCTGCAGAGCCTGAAGCAAAGTAGTCTCTTAGAAAATAGAATAAGAGCATCTAACCTTCCAATCACTGTTGCTTAAAATTATCATATACCGTCTTCTGGAGCCCTGCTTGTGACTACTAATTTACGTGGTCTTCCTCTTTTTCTTCTTTGGCTGCTTCCTCCAACTCTTGGCTGCTTATATCCCACATTAAGAATAATAAAACAATAAAAAAAATAAAAACATCAAATTCCGAACAGTTTGGTCAAGGAACAAACAGGATTAAGGCAAATTACTAAAAAGGCCTTTTATTTCATATTTAATAGTATGTCTAAATCAAGACCTGGGCTAAAAGCAATTAAACAAAACTAGAAAAAAAATCAGAAGTTTGCACTGTTAAAATCTAATTTAATTTTTTTAGAGTTAAAATATTATTTAATTATTACAACAGTGAATAACAGCATAAATTGGTACCTGGAAGACAATTTTATAGTTAAAAAGAAAGAAAAGGTTATGAACAAATGGGTTCTTCAGATAAAAGATTTCCATAAAATTTCCACTACTTTTTCTAACAAGTTTCAGTCATGAAATTGTTTTTGACAAGCGAATACAAGATACATTCGTATCAAACAGTCATACTTAACCGTTCAAAATAGTATTACAAGGTCACAAGAACCTCAAGATTGTTACAAAACTATATTACCAATGACCATTACAAGAAGGCTATCACACATTACTTATCGAGGCAGAACTGTAATGTTATGGAATAGGAGATGTGCTTTTCATTTAGTATTCCATAACACTACAGTTCTTCTGCCTCCCAGGTTTGGTTTCTGGGACAACTTGTCCTTTTTTGTGAGGACAACTACTCCAGTCTTGTCTAACTTTTTATTTTAATAGAGTATCTATGTTTCCTAGCAGAAAAACAAAAGGGTTATCACATGTAAGGTTGATGAAAAGAATATGCAAAAGCTATATAACTTCCTAGTTTTTCCTTCTTTTTTAACCAAGATGCTTCCAAGTCTCTTTTTATTTTTATTTTTTTTATGTTGGAGGTTTTCCACTCTTGGATGGAAGCCTTTAAAAAGAAAGGGAAGAGAATGCTCATATATTGCTTACCATGCTGTTGTCTCCTTCTGAATCATTTAAAATTTTCTTCTGGTCCCTAATTAGCTTCAGTGATCCATTCTTGGAATTCTGACCAGGATTTCTAGCCTGTGTGCCCCTTACACCCTTATTAGCTTTTAAACCTAAGATGACAGGCATTTCAACTTCTTTCTCTTTACCATCATTTTCATTCAGTTCTTCAGTAGTAGCCACCCCTGTATTGGTCTCCTCACCTGAAATCCTTAAAACCCCAAATTAGTTACAGAAAGACAACAATTTAATGAAATATATATTACCGAAACTGAATACCAGTTGCTGCAGCTGGTGGCATTTTAACTTGTAATTTTGTCGGCCTTCCCTTCCTTTTCACAAGATCCACTGTTTGGAAGTCCGCTCCAAATTTCTGTTGCTTAGTCTTCTGTAGGAGCAACAAAATATCATGAAAAGTTGAAGGGCAAAATATCATGCTTATACAGAAATTGGGCCGCGGTTCAAACATAAACCTAAGTGTCCAACTAGTCATCATTATCCAATCATAGTAATATTGACAGAAAAATCAGAAAAAACTCATTCAAACCAGTATAATACAAATAGCTGAAAAACATCTTCTCTTTACTCTTGAAGAAATTCATTGTCATTATCAATCATAACAGCACCAATGAAATCTCAGTCACCGTACTATTAGGGTAGGGAGGGATAATTTTCTTAAAAGTTTCCAGTAAGATTATGCAGGCAGATCCCCAAACCTTGCACAGGATATACTTAAACTAGAGACCTTTATTAAGCATTAAAGATAAAATAACCTTAATATGTTGCATCGATGGGAAATTTGAGTCTACTCCCTTCACTCTAAATGCAAGCAACTAAACTAATGGACCCAATCATAAAATGGCCAACTCAGGCTGGCATAATCGTTATGTCAATGTTTACAAGTCTCCCTTCATCAAAATTTGGACATATTGCCCCCCCATGAAGTTTGATGTACAGGATGTGAAAAAATATGAAGGTTTCAACAGAGAAATCTAACTCACAATTCTCTTTCCGAGATAAGGACTCTCGATTTTAGCAGGAGGCTGATCAGCAATCACGGGTTTCTTCAAGCGCCTGGATCCTGTGCTTTCTGCCTTTTCAGAGACCAAATCAGATTGTGAGTCCTCAGTTTCATTCGGAATCTTCTTTATAAAAGATGAGGTCTCTGAAACATTTCTTTCGGTCAACTTTTTGTAAGGACGTGATCGCATGATAGTACCGTTAGAGTTAGACAGCTTAAGCTTCTTCTTGCTTGGAGGAAAGGAATAAGATGTAGCATCTTCTTGGCAGGAACTTGACTGCTCCATCTGATTATTTCTTCTGTTGGTAAAATTAGGTGTTTTATCTTCACTGTTATCCTTTGCAGAGCCTGAACCTTCAAATTTCAAAGCTACCCCAGCGTTGTTGGCACCAGTGCATGCATGCCCCACCTGTTCTTGATTACCAGAAGCTATCAAGATTTCCTGAACCAAAAACATATTATAAGCTACAACAAATAAATAAAACTAGTACTAGGCTCTAGACAGATCTAACATTAACCCAAGCACACCATTAACCTATCTAAAATATATGCAACTTTCCACTGTCAATTACATGAAATAGAGACCCATTTACTTCTCAAAAGTGAGGTGACTTTTAGAGCAAAATAAATGACACAAAGGACTATAAAGAACCAAAGAACCACAAAAAAAAAAAAAAAAAAGGACCCACAATCACAGACAGTAGGTATAAGCACTGTTTGCAAGACCAATGCATGAAAGGGAACATAACAAAGTACAAAGACCAGCAAGAGAGGTGCTTAGTAGTTTTCTCGAGCATGCTCAAATGACTCATTTTCACAACATTTATTCTTTTTCTCTTCTCATAATAATTACATCTGAATTACAAAATAAATCTAGAGGATGTTTTTTTTCTTGTAGGCTAATGCCATCATTACAAATAGATAAAACAATCCATAAAGCAGTTTGGCAAACCTAGAACATGAATTGAAAGCTAAACCCAGTACCACCTAAGCACATGATTCTCCCCTTTACATCCTTGAAAACTAGCACGAATGCAATAACAACTTAGAAAACCTCACACTTAAAAGAACAGAACAATTCATACAAAATTTGTGCCAAAATACATTGCAAAAGCATGGCCGTTATTGATCCCTTTAAATAGAGTATGATTCAGTACTATAGGGAAGAACATGAGGTCCTTCGGAACAAGTACAATGCCATTTCATTGTAGATATAAAACATAAACAAAGAATAAAAATATTTATTTGTAAATTTTCATAACTAAAACAAAATGGTAGTCAGACATATGCAGATAAATGAGTAAACGACTTTTTCCCACCCAAGGTTTGCCTTAATGACACTTTTCCACCCAAAGAGTTTCAAAATACTAGTTTCTCACCCAAAGTTAATATTTCGTTACTATCTAAAGCCGATTCCAGCCGATTCCGACTACGAAAGTTCTCTCTGTCACCACCATTTAAACCTCTGGTCTTCTCTCTACAAAACCCCTCTTACTTCGGCACCTGATTTCTTGCCGATTCCCGGCCATCACAAAGCTAGGGTTTCCTGTTCTTAACTGATTTCCAGCTAATTCCGGCGGCGAATATTAAATCAATCACCACCATTCGATCCACCGGCCTCCACCTTACAAAACCCCTCCTACCCTAGCTCTTGGTAATTCACCAAACGCCAACTGAGAAAGTGAAGTGTATTTTGAATATTAACAAAATATAAACTTTAGGTGAAAAAGTAGTATTTTGAAACTTTTGGGTGAGAAAGTGTCATTAAGGCAAACCTTGGGTGGGAAAAACATAGATAAACCGAAAAACAATAAAAAACAAAAAAAAACCTAGTCAAGAACAAATTCAATACCAACCACGCCAAAAAATTGTTATTTATTTAATTAATTTTTATTTCTTTTTAAGAAACAAAGAGACTAACAACTATAACAAACAAAGACAATCACTAAGGACTAAAGATCCTGAGCCCCATCCTCCAATACTCTCTCACAAAGAAGAGAAGATTAAGAAAAGATGATACCTTGGATTTACTAATCCAGTTGCCATCAGTCCATTCCAAATGGGGCCTTAATTCTGAAAGACTAAACTCTTTATCCTCATTTGCATGCTCAAAAAAGACATTGTACCTTCCCCCAGCAAGAACTTTAGTAATTACTCCAACCCGCCAACCAGGACCATAGGATGTATCAACTTTTTCCAGTAATTTATAATTTCTGTCCACATGGGGAGGAGGGGTAGGTCGGATACGATTGGAATCCAGATTAACTTTTACTGTTCCAGCATCATCACCAGTCATTTTGTTTTCATACTTCACAAAGAAAGTGCCATCCTCGTTTTCTTTAATGATGATTGCAGGGATCCAGACATCACGTGTGTTTTCTACTTTGTCAAGATTAACTTCTACTGCTATCCCCGGGCTAAAAATGGATCCTGTTGATTGCTTTAAGAAATAAAACTAAAAACATATTATTAATAGAGAACAATGTCACTGGGTAACATATATCATGCGAAGAATCAAAATGAAATTACAGCTCTTAAGGTTTGCAAGTGAGAACAGATAACAACAATCATTAATACTTTACTGTCAATTGAAGAACAGAATCATAAATGAAAAAGAAGCAAGATTACCGTTGGTTTATGCAGGTAGTAAGTGTGATTGGGGAAAATACTACACTCATGCTCTAAAGTACATTTCAGAAGATTCCATTCAGTTTCGTAAATAAGTTAACGGTACACACCCATAAAAAAGAACGGGCATGTAAATTTGATAAATATTAATAGACCCCCAGAAAGATTAGACCTCGCATAAGCAGAATCAAAGAATTAACCAGGTAAACAAGTAAATCAAGGTGATTATTTGATTATGAATCTAATCTTAACAATCACCCTATACACAGCAGGATGTTTCCTTTAATAGTGATTAACATGCAATGCATCCATCCACTGCCCATGCAAGGTTGACACCTATCAATACCAGACAGATCACACATACTTGAATAAAAAGTACAAGATTTTTTGAAGCCCACAAATACTAGTGAGAAATCATGCCAAATCTGTTTCGTATAAAAGCATGCATGGAATATAGTTTAAAACAATGAAAACCCATGCAATAAAACCCATCTAAAATACTACATTCGGTCAAAATTTACAAGCCCACCAATTTATTTCTTCCAAAAACTTAATTCTTTTTCAGCACTCTTAAAAAAACTATAACATTAGCTTGACGTACCTGCTTTTGGGGTCGGACCCAGTTACCGTTAACCCAATCCCAATGAAATCTCAAATCTTTCTCTTCAAAATCAAGAACATCAGGTGGGTTATCAAAACAAACCTTGAGTTTACCGTCGTCAAGAACCTTCCTTACAGTACCAGTCCACCATCCATCTCGGTAATTTGCATCGACGACGTCGTTTACCTCAAAGAGCTCCTTCTCAGTCCTTTCTTGGGGAGGCAAAGGCCTTATATAAGCGGGGTCAATGTACTCCGTTAAGGGACTGGATCCATCATCAGCAAGCAAGTACCTGTACTCGACGAGGGCTTTCTTGCGTTTCTTAGAAACAGATTTTGGTGGGGACTCAACAATGGTAGCTCGGTACCAAGCGCCTCTGAAACCCTCCTCGTCGCTCGTGACTTCAATTTCGGTGCCTTTGTTGAAGATGACCGGGTGCTCGGACTCCAAAGTTACCATTTTCGTTCCCTCTCGGCAGAAAACCCTAGCCTAGGGTTTTTATGCTTTTGTTTTACGGGCAATACCCGGTAAAGTTTTCCCAGCTTTAAATGAAGATATTTTCTTTTCTTTTCTTTTCTTTTCTACTCTCTTTATCCGTTTATTTTATGGGTTTTGGCGGAAAAGGTTGGATACATCAGTAGTTGAGTGGACTGGAGTGTTCTTCTCTTCTTTTATTTCTCTTACAAATTACTTTTATCTATTTACGAAATAATAAAAATTCATTAAAATTGATTTCATAAGAACAAATAACTAAAATTCTTAAGCAAGGCAGGGGATAATCTTAAAGATGTCTTAAAAAGTTTGGTTTTCACATCACTTTAACACTTAACACTTTTATCTATTTATAGTATTTTGTTTTTTTTACGACGGGGTTGTCTAGATTAACTAAAGCACACCTTAACTAATTTTCAAAACCCTGAACAATTATAATATTAAATATTTATCACTTATTATCATCAAAATTTGAATTTGAAACATAAATAAATGGCCTTTCTTTTTTTTTTCATTCAAGGATCTACAAATACCACATGTTTCCATAACGGCATAACCCCACAAGCCACAACCACTGTTTGTTACATTTTCCAAACGCCTCCAAAACTTTTAAAAATCACAAACAATGGCGTCCCTTACAGCGGCAAACAGAATATGTGAGACTGCAGTGATATCTCCAATAATTCCAGTTTCAACTAAGTTGCATCAATTCCCACGATTCATATCAGTCTTTAGAAGGAGGGTGTCTTACAGAAGAGCCATAAGAGCTTGTGCTTCGAGTCCCAGAGAGCCCGCTGCTTCATCACCAGGACTCTACTCCGCCCACAAATTCGATCTCACACCCCAAAACGTTGACTTGGTTCTCGAAGATGTTCGCCCTTATTTGATCGCTGATGGTGGAAACGTCGACGTTGTATCAGTTGATGACGGTGTCGTTTCTCTCAAACTCCAAGGTCAATTCACCCTCTCTTACCCATTTTATTAAATTATGTTTTTATTAGAAGATGTGATGATTTCCTTTCTGTTGCTGCAAGTCTGGATGTTACATTAATATAAACTTTCTAAAAAAATTTAGTATTAAATGAAAATGTATTGTTTAATTGGCTAAACCTAGGTTTCTTGCTCCGCGATGTCTGGAGATGTTAAGACCATCCTTATGTTTTAATTAGTATTGAATGAAACGTATTTGTAGATTTGGTGAAATGAGCGTTGGAGAAATCATCCCGGTGCATTATTAGTACAATTGAAGCTTCTACAATCAAAGATTATAGTTAAAACAACCTTGTCTCACTTTTATCATTCTTCTTTATGCAAAAAAATCATGAACTGTAAACCAATAGATTGAAATCGAAGATCATGCATCGTATGGGCTAATTTCAGAACAACTTAGACAAATATGTGCAGGTCGAAATTTATATATGTTCTACTCGTAAAACTGGCTGTTGCGGTTAGAGAATGAGCAATTACTCATTCTTAAGAGCGAAAAGTCGGAATGAAAAATTTGTAGAGTATGGCATATTTTCTTCTAGGTTAATCACGCACATGTTGATAATTTATATTTCCTCTATTATTAATGTGGCCAAGTACCATGGCGACAGAGTTCAATGAATATGTGAAGGGTAACCATGAGTGGTAGAATCAACTTAATCAGCTCCACTGTTCAATGGGATTAACAACTTGTTTGTATCTCACGTATTTATCAACGAAAAGAATTTATTAAGTTTTCACCTGAGTATAAGAACGGAAGAAAGGAAGTTGACAGATGCAAAATTGTTCTTAAGAAAATGAATTTTCTGTGTTATCAAAATTGAGATTAAATTGATGAACAGGAGCATGTGGAAGCTGTCCTAGCTCAACCACAACCATGACGATGGGGATTGAAAGAGTACTGAAGGAGAAATTTGGAGATGCTGTCAAGGATATTCGCCAAGTGTATGATGAAGAAGCAAGAGAGACAACTGTTGAGGTGAGTTTTCTACTGATATGGCTGATAAATGACAAAACAATAGTGCTAGATGACTACAATTCCTTTTTGTGATCAATGACCATTTCAGATGCTGTGTGACTACAGGCAGTAAATGGCCATCTTGATATATTGCGACCAGCCATCAAGAACTATGGTGGGAGTGTGGAAGTGTTATCTGTTGAGGGTGGACATTGCATCGTAAAGTATGTGGGTCCTGAGTCCATTGGATCAGGAATTAGAGCAGCAATCAAGGAGAAGTTCCCAGATATTGAGGACGTTGTCTTAACTTGCTAGGTTGCTGTCAGTATCACAAGCTTAAAGAACCTGCTCTACTTGGTCATGTATGGTTATAATCAGTTAAGGTTTGACCATTTGACGCCTCATATATATGATACATGTATTATGTTTATTGTGACACTGCTCTGTCCCTAAAAAAATTTTGGCGAATGATTAATGCAATATTTCTTCAACCATCTTGTAATCAAAGTTGTATTTGGATCAGTCTGGTGAAGTCTCTGTTGAAAGGCAGTATTGCAGCTGCGGAACAAGTTAAATACAATTCTGTTAGTATCATTCTTCCCATTTTATGAAATTAGCTTAGTCTATATTGGACTTGAGAAACAATTCACATGACAAAACGGTTTTATAGAGTATCATATTCACTAAAGACCATATAATATGAAACGTTTGAATTCAACTTGGTTCGATTCATTTTACTCAAGTACTTCAAAGGCTATCCCTCGCCACTCGGATGTTTGAAACTCTGGTTGCTGCAAGAGAGAAATTCAAATATTTGCCTACGCAGACTTGTCCTCCGAATTAGTAGCAGCTATTACTGATCTGAGCCAACGAGATAAGTTAATGAGGAATGGCGTGTAAACAAAATAACAGGTAACTGTCCAAGTAACCAATCCCTGCACACAGAAGAAAGAATCGTGATTTGCACCTCTGTGAAGCCATGAAGGATTTGAAGTTTGGAAATAAAATCAATTACCTGGCCAAGGATATCTATATTTGCTTGTGGGTAATACCAAAGATGAAATAGCCTGGAAAACAAGCATCGGACAGAATAGTTAAGGCCAAGGATTTATTTGAATCATTTGATGGTAAGAGGAAAAGCAAGCTTACTTCATTAGAGGAATCTCAGCCAGTGGGCAGGCGAGACCTACAACAGATGCAAGGGTGAAGCCGAGCCATGTCCTGTCCAGGGAAAACCATATAAACTCCGCCACTGCAAATAATATGTAGGCTTCTACGTTGTCTGCTACTCCAGCCTTATACAGTTCAGCACTCAATTCAATAAATACCACCAGAGCTCTGCATTGATGATAAACAAAGAAAAAAAATACAAAAGTTTTAAGGCATAAATGCTAGTTGATTCATACTGCGAATCCAAAAACAACTTAACCTGTTTTTGGCCGCTCTCACTTACAGAGCGTTAAAGTCTTGCTTTTTTTTTTTTTTTTTTTTTTTTTCCTTAAATCCTTAAACTACTTGAACCTAATAAAATGAAGTAATGAAAGTTGACACTCACAGTAGCGAAGCAGCTGCTTTTTCCAGACTTCCCTCTGGAACCTTTGAAGAGGCTGGGCTTGTCATCCAAGTAGAGTTGGAGCAAACCAACAGTGCAGTAAAACAAACCAAGCAGGGACGGAACCTCGACATTGAACAGACAATAACCAACTAAATGAAGAAATTTGATCGGAAAAAAAAAGAAAACAAAAAAAACTACGGCTGATTTACCCAGATGTTTGTATGGAGAGGTCCGATATTGATTGACCCATTGTCATAAACCACAAGATTCACCCGGGAATGAAGCCCATCAATAACAGGACCCAGAAAGAAACCAGAGCCGAACAGTGAGAGAAAGATGGCTGGGTGGCTGAGACTTGTTCTGGTTTGGTTTCTTAAACTGCAAGAAGTTTTAGAGCGATAATATTTCGGATTTGCATGGAGACGGCTGGTGGGAAGAGAAGAAGAGGATCTCAAAGCCACGCCCAACACCTGCATGCTTTTGTCGTCACATTTCGAGATCACTAATGGAAGAAAGACGTATTTAAATGTCGACCACTCAAGTGCATTTGATGGTCCAGATAATGAATCAAATATCTAAACTAGTTATTTTCTCATTATAAAAATAGTTCAAATGAGATAAAATTGAAAAGTACTAATATTAATTGTTATGATGTTAAGATTCATTTCAGTATAATTTTCATTTTACATTTAAATATGTGTTAAAATCGGTGATATTTTAATTAATTGATGCAAGTAAATTAACACAAGTATCAACAGCTTGTGTGCTACTTGCAAACTTCTAGTTGGTGAGTTGAGAGCATTATCCTTGATTCTAATTTGGCGAAGCAATTTTAGTATAAGAAAAGAAATAAGGAGAAATTTGGCTTACCAAAAACTAAAAGCAGTATGAAAATGAGGATTATATTCCCTAACGATTCACAAACTGATATAACTGTCAATAATCAAGGAAGCCAAAACGGAAAGACATACAAATGATTTAGTGCAACAGTTTCAGGGAATACACTGATGTCTACTCTCTTGCAAGATATGTATACATAACGTAATACTTGGTTTATAAAGCAAGAAAACCCATGTTTTGCACCACTAGTAAATTAACGTCTCATTCTAAACTACAGATTTAGGTGCAAAAGACCCCGCTCTCATGTATTTCACCACCTTGGATCACCGCAACTGGAATCCTGAATTATATTACATGATAAACAAACTTAACGCTCCTATATTTGGACTTATAATTACTTCTTACATTATCGACCTACCAAAGATTCTGCGATTTATAACTTATTACATACAGCCGGCCTGGTAATGGTGAACCTGAGGCAAGGTCCTGGCTTCAATCCTGCGTTGCTCTTTAACTTCAAGCATAATGAACTCAGCGGCAAAAATTAAGCCATTGTCACCTCGAAAATTAAAGATCTGAAGCCTTCATCTTTCTCGGCCTTTTATGAGCGGGAGATGATGGAGCCTCTGATAACCTTCCAGGTCCCTTAAGAATCACATATTAAAGAAAGACTATATTAAAATCCTATAAAACATCTATAGCAAGTTAAAGTAAAAGCATAACATAATAGTATGCATGTAACAAGGCATGTACCTTGCGTTTCTGGTCCCTTTTGCCAACCCTGTCTCCTGAAATCCAAATAAAAATTTAAATTTAACAGTCCCACATAATTGACTTACTTCATTTAAGAATAAATTCAAGGGAAGACCAAGATGTTGACATCAACTAAAATATTACCTCCAAAACTTACAGAGTCAGGAACAAATGTTCGATCTTGATCCCCACCACGTTGGGAACGCTGTCCAAAGTCTCAGAATTACTTCAAGAATTTGATACTAGGACTAGTTCACTAGAAGGCTAATAGAACCACAAGCCTAGATAATTACAAGAAATTCCATAACATTAATCAATTCACTAACCTTAGGGGTGCCCGGTGTATCAATGTATGAACCATCACGGTAAGATGAACCTTCGGCCTCCTTGTATTGCAACTTAATCAAGCACAAAAGTTAAACATGTCAAGATATAAATGAAAAAATACACCTTTTTTATTATTCTTTCCCAATAAATTCTGAATTACCTACATTAATTTGCATCCAAGAACCATACTCTTATACAACCAAAAACAATATGAATAAATATTGAAAACAGATTGGCTCTGAGCCTATAAAACCCAGAAGGAGCCACTAATTTTGAGCATTGCCATATTAAGACTGAAATCTCAAATGTGAAATAATGCTCAGCTCACATCAATATAACAAACTAGCAACATCTGCAACATGAGTCACTAGAAACTGCATATAAATTCACATTACCAGTCATGACACTCAACAAACTTAGCAAGCAACCAGAAATCTCTATTGCAACAATTCTCATTATAAAATTTCATGTTAAGGACCTTTCAAATCTCTGTAGTACAACGGGAAAAAAGGATTATTTGAAAGAAACAACCAAACATTGCTATTGCTTGACTCCATAGGAGATAATAGAGTACTAGAGAAAATATAAGCTTTACCATATACAAAAGTTATGATAACATAAGCTTTAGTATATAAAAAAGTTAAGATATCGCTTCATTTCCAGGACTGTATAAAATTACAACCTGAGAATAAATAAAATATTTCCATCGATTAAACCATGTAAAACAGTCACATTCCAACTTATCAAACTACAAAATTATAAGGAAAACACAAGGAATGGTCAATCTAGAAAAATGCTCGTGTATTCATTACCTGTTTCTGAAGATTTAGTAAAGTCAATATTTCTTTTCTTAATTCAAGATGCTCTGCACAAACAGCTTTGGTTGGAACTTTAGGTTTCAAATTAACCTGTAAATAATACATCATGAGCTTAATAATCACTCAGTGATAATATTCACACAATACACTGTCAAATAAGTAAAGTGTACTCAGCAAATTTAGATAACATCAAACTCCAAGATATATTCCCAAAAGCCAAGGATTGTATACATAAACTAGAAATCCCTAGAAATGGTTACATGGATACTTTAAGTTCTGATTTCTCATCAAAAAAATAAATAAATAAATAAAACCTATAAAATATACACAACCAAAGTCAAAAACCATATAAGATCAGCTATCAAGTCCAAAATCTGCTTGATTAGAATCTTGCATGATACATACCCCTGAAAATAAAATCCACGAAATGTGGTAAAGCACAGGTTATGTATGGTCATATCAGGCAAATGCATTGGCAAAAGGCAAGTCCTAATTTTTAAGATAATCTGATTGAAATCACAATGTCAATATATGATTGCCCAAATTTAGTACGAAAAAAACAGGTAACAAGTTATAGCACTTGTGCATCTTCATAATTTATACTTCCCAAAGATGAAAAGTAACTAAAAGAATAAATAAATATATAGAGCATAATGATAACAATATAAACTTACTGTCTACTTACTATAGAAATAACATCACTGAAAAATAAATCACATAATACAGAAAGAGTATCTTCACCATAAACAGTTCAGGAAGCAGAAACAAACCCCAAGATCTTGTAAGGTCTGCTCAACCCGCTTGATGGTCCGAAGTCCAGCAGATGAGCTTGCAGCTTGCACCATCTGCTCAAGTGCATAAGTCCTCAAATAAACCTTAAGCTGCAATTTTTTCAAATCAGTAGAATTTTTGTTAATACTTGGATAATCAAGATAAAACTTTACAGAAGGGTCAGGGACTGTGGTTCCAAACATCTACAGGAAGTGGAGGACATCATGCTCAAAATTTCCATAAAAAATGAAAGGATAACAAAATACACAAAAACAAACTACTTTAGTTAGTGCATACAAAAAGATGAACCATATTTTCAAATGGAGATGGAAAGAGGGAGAGAGTAGAAACCAACTTGGAACCAATTACTAGACATACCATGCGCAGAGAAGCCAGAGTAGAGGCACTGTCAGCCATTATAGAGGTTGAAGGTGCAACCACTGCTGCAGGAAGCTGAACATTTAATGAAGGGGATACAGTATCACCAAGAACAGCCCGGTCAGCACTTTCTGAGCCCGCATGAGATGTAACAGGCAACTCAGGCTCTTCGGCAGCCTGAAGAGGCAGAAAAACTAGTAACTAACCCATATCAAGCAATCATTAACCATACATACTCAAAAGTTCACAAGCAGAGAGAATATTTTTTTACTTAAGTACGAAATTACAAATGATTCTGACTTTTGTTTCATGTGATATAAATACACATCTCCCTATTAGCTGTAATGTAAAAAAGCATTGATTATAAGAAATAAACATAACCACATATCTAATGCAACACACCCGTGCAGCCTTGCGCGACTCAGCTATTCTTTTCGCTTCAGCCAAAACCTGAGAAAAGATATTGCTTCTATTTTATCAACCGGTCCAAATTCAAATTAGTGCTGAAATGTTAACATTACACGGTAACTAGTACAAGCCCCAAGCAAAATAAGACCTCGGCATCTTTACGCTCTTGCTGTTTTGTTTGTGATAGGACCATTGACAATGCACGTTTCCGTTCTTTCTCTTGTGAAACATTGTAAGGCTCCTATACAAAAATTAAGGTCAAAAACTACAAACCAATAAAACAACATGGTATAACACACTTCAAATCCAAATTACCAGATACAACCAACCAAATGTAACCCAAAAAAGTTAAAATCGTGACAGTATTAAAGTCATCTAGAAACACCACTTATAAAGCTGTCATACCTTAACAAGAGGATGACCTGAAACATCTCCTGGAGATGGAGCCCTGGCAATCATTATAGCTCGAGATACTACAAGATAAGAATTGTCATAACCATCAAGAACAATCAAATAGTTCCTTGAAATCAATTCATGCATTGTCCCTTGTAAACAGAACATTAAGTGAAATATCAAATCAAACTATAAAACAATTAAAAAAATAATAAAGTCATTTAAACAGTAAAAAGCTAATATTAGTCTAGAAAACAGAAATAACTACCACTATAATAACGATCCTTCAGTTCCTCCACAGACCGAGATGATGGGAATCTGTCAGCTATAATAATGAAGCGGAGATCAAACCTTTCACACAAGTCAAACAATTGATCTGTCTCCTCTTTGGTCCATGTCTAACCCAACACATATAACCAAAACAGAAAAAATTAAGTAAATAGTATTGATAGGATATGTGGCAATCAAACATGAGATATAATTCCCCTTTAAAATTTTCAACTTGAGTTGATACCTACAGGATCTGTTAAATATTTCTCATACTCCTCGTTCGTGTATTTGACAACATCAACGGACTGCATCACAACAAAAAACTAACCAATTCAACCATTGAAATCAAAATTAAAGAAAGTAACTAAAATAGAGATGCAAAAATTTTCCTTTACAGTAAGAGAGAGATGATAGAAAACTTGTATACCTTGTTATACTTGGCAAAAGAGTAGTCACCTGTTGGTGGAATACCATTCACAACTCTGACCTGCAGAGTGTACAAAACGATAAGACATCTTAAACACTGATACTAAGAATTCCCAGATAGCTAGTTTGTGACAAAACTTTC